GGAGGTTTCTAAAGCAAAGAAAACAGTGGAAAAACTCAATGTGGAGGTTCCTAAAGCAGAGAAAGCACCAGAGAAACTAACTGTGGAGGTTTCTAAAGCAGATAAAACACCTGAAAAACTGATTATGGTTTCTAAACCAGAGAAAACACCTGAAAAACTAACTGTGGAGGTTCCTAAAATGGAGGAAACACATGAACAACTAACTGTAGAGGTTTCTAAATCAGAGAAAATGCCGAAAAAACTCAGTGTGGAGGTTCCTATAGCAGAGAACACACCTGAAAAGCTAACTGTGGAGGTTTCTAAAGCAGAGAAAAAGCTGGAAAAATTTAATGTGGAGGTTCCTAAAGCAGAGAAAACACCTGAACATCTAAGTGTAGAGGTTCATAAAGAAGAAAAAACACCAGAAAAGCTAACTGTGGATGTTCCTAAAGCAGAGAAAACAACTGAAAAACTCAATGTAGAGGTTTCTAAAGCAGAGAAAACAACTGAAAAACTCAATGTAGAGGTTTCTAAAGCAGAGAAAACAACTGAAAAACTCAATGTAGAGGTTTCTAAAGCAGAGAAAACACTGGAAAAGCTCAATATGAAGGTTCCTAAAGCAGATAAAACACCTGAAAAACTAACTATGGAGGTTTCTAAAGCAGATAAAACACTGGAAAAACTCAATGTGGAGGTTCCTAAAGCAGAGGAGAGATCCACTCGGGGTGCTGATCCACAGCAAGCAGCCTCTTCTGCTAAAGAACAAACAGAGGGCCAACAGGAATCACCCAAAGGATCCTCTGTTGACAATAAGTCATCAGTAGGCTCACCAGAGACATCTGAAGGGAGCAACAAAACATTAGGTGGGATCCTGCTTTGCCGTCACAACTCGGCTAAATCAGAGGGTGTCGATGAGGGAGACCCTGCTGCCGACCGCTCGCCAAAGAAGAAGAAGAAGAACAAACGTCGCTCTGTTCGCTTCGGTACTGTGGTGACAGATGATGGTTCCCCTCCGGTGATTCTGGGCTCAGATTGTGATTCCAACGAAGACGAGCGGGCGGATGCTGAGGTCAAAACCAAGGAGGATGGCCTCGTTTCAGCGCCGCTGTTTCAAAGACTTGGACTTCTCCAGAGGAGGGGAGACGAGACGCAAAAAGAAGAAAGGCTGAAACATCTGGAATTTCAAAAGAAACAGAAGGAGGAGGAAAGAGAACAGACGAGACACGAGGTGGAAGAGGAGAAAAAATGTGACGAAGATGAGCGGGAGAAAGAGTGGATGAAACAGAAGGAAGAGTTTCGACTCAGGGATGAGCAAATAGAGAGGCAGAGGCTGCAAGAGTTGGAGAGAGCACGAGAAGAGGAAAGAGAGCAGGAAAAGATAAGGGAGGAGGCGATCGAAAAGGAACGACAGATGAAGCTGCTGCAGCAAAAACAAACTGAGGAGCAAAGAAGGAGAGAAGAGAAACTTAAGGAGGAGCGGGAAAGAGAACGTCTGAAGGAGGAGGAGAGGAGACAGGTAGCGCTGATGGAGGAAAGGAAAAGACAGAAGCAGAAAGAAGAGGAAGGGAGATTAATTGAAGAGAAAAAACGGAGCGACTTGAAAATAAGTCGGGGTGAATCAAAGGAGAACGACTTGATGAGTGAGAGACAGCAAAAAGACGAGAGGTTTCAACTAGAAACGTGGGAAAAGGAAATATTAAGGAAGGACACTGAGGAAAGAGAGAAGCTGAGGAGGCAGGAGGAGGAGAGGAGGAGGGACAGTGAAAGACATGAGGAGGAGAACCAAAGCCTGGAGAAGAGAATTTGTTTGGACCTGGAAAAAGCGCAGTCAGATGAAGACAGAAGGTTTGGAGCAGCTGAACAGAAGGACAAAGAGGAACCTGAGGCAGGAGCAGGAGGTGCACACCTGATCAGCTTTAACGCTGAAGACTGGTCCAAGACGTCAGAGTCAGCACGTTCCCCTTCGTCCAACCTCAGCACGCCCATAGAGAATATAATCGATGTCGTTTACGACGACTTCTCCGTCAAACAGCCTGACACAGACGTGGAGTTTGACGATTTCTCCGTCAAGCCAAGAAGACGAGCTCCACAGACTAGAGTAGAAGCCACCAGCTACAGCTGGGCTGCTGATCCTGGTGATCAGAAGGATGCACTGGTGTGGGCTGATCATGAAACTCAGGTTGATCAGAGACAACACGTTCAGGAGCAGGTGGAAAGAGAACAAGCGATTAGCCCAGTTCTGAAGAGCCCAGAGAAAGACGAGGTGGAGGTGTTGATGGATGTGGATATGAAGGAGGTAGAGGAAGAGGAGGAGGAGGAGGTGGAGGAAGTTGGAGAAATGGAGGAAGAGAAGCTTGTCTTTGTGGAGGAGAGTGAAGAAGACGTGGAGATGAAGTCAGACGAAGATGCAGAGGAGGACAGCGAAGAGGTAAAAACAAAACCTACACCAAACTAATCTGATCATTATGATGAAAAAACTCACATTTATACTTTTATACATTTATACTTTTATACTTTTATACATTTATACTTTTATACATCAGTTCACAGGAAACTGTCACACTAATACAGTGAATAAACAGTAACAGCTTTATTTTAAACAAGGTTCAAAGTCCTTTATTGTCATTCGCGTCGCCTATGGTACATGAGGTGGAATGAAATTGTGCACTCGAGGTCCCAGTTACACCCAAAAATAGCAAAAATATAAAGTATAAAAAGAAACAGTATACGAGGATCTAAGTTATAGATTAAACCAGGGGTTGTCACACTTTTGGGTAGTTCCGGGCGGGGGCAGGGGGAGGAGGCGGTCTTGGAGTTTTACCCCAGAAAATTTTGAAAAAAATAGATGTGGTTTCCTCCATTTTGGTGTATTTTAACGGGGACCCCAGTTTGAAAACTACTGTGCTCAACAATAATAATGTAATATACGGTGTATTAAACAGCAGCCTGAACATGAGTCTGTTGTGAGCAAGTGAGCATAATGTTCATGTGCAATGTTTATCCAGTTTGGAATAAAAATCTGAAATTATACCGATTTAATAAACCCATTTGTCTGAGGTTCAAATATTATCAGATTTATATAAAAAAAAAAAACATTAAATGTTAATGTTTCAAACCTTTTTAAGAATCCTTTGACTGCTCGGTGTAAATAATAAACATAATAATAAACGGTGTAAATAAACACTTAAATAGAGCTGGAACAATTTTATACCGGCCGACTGACTCGGGCTTCGTCAAGTGTTTCAGGTTTTATCGTCTTTGACTTCATGGCTGCTTTCAGAGAACGCTCATAGTCATGGGCGCAAAGCTCTAGTCAGTGACTGCTGCTGCATTTGACTGAATCTGTGAAGGATGTTCTTGTCGTAATCTGGATTATTCGTTTTTATCGTTAACAAACACTAATCACCAGGTGGCTGGGAGTTCATGCAGCACAATGTTATAACGATATTTGATTGTGCTTTATAGGAAATATATTCAGATTTTAAAGCTCTTCAAGTCTTGTCCGTGCTTTTCCTGACTTTCTGTTACAAGTTGATCTTACGTTTACATGTCCATAGCATGCCGTTTCCAAAGTGATGCAACATATTAAGATGTATCCAACCTAATAGTTTGTACCTGACGATGAACTCTTTTTATTTGCTTTCATAAAAGCCCCCTTCTTTAAATGCTGTAGAGCTATTCAGTGGCGAGAATCGTTTATTTAATTATAATTAAAGCTGCTGTAATGTGATTACATTTGGATGCATCCATAAAAACACTAAAAAACAGAATCTGCAGGAAGGAATCTTGGGGGTTTGGACTAGCGGCCACCTCAAGAAATGTGTCGCCCTTCTTGGCAAGTCCGTTTAATCCTCTTTTGAGTCCCAAGAATTTGCTTTGTGTGCATTTTAATTACTCCTAGTTATTAAGGATTTATAAAATCTCATAAACACAAAGACATTTATTGTTTTTTTTTTTTGCCATTTGTAGTTAAAAGTATAAATATTGCGGGGTTTCTGGGTTTCGTCCTGTCTTTTCTGTTTCCTCATGTTTCAGTCACCCCTCAGTGATCCTCCTCCTTGTGTTCAGCTCTTGCCACACCTGCGTTCAGTCCTAATCACCACAGGTGTTTGTCTTTCTACCCTCGTTAGTGTCTCTATTTATTTGGTGTCTCGTCCCTCCCTCATTGTCCGTGGATTGTCCCTTGTGGCGTCATGTTCTGGTCTCCGTCTATGTCTCAACATTAGGATACAGGACGTTATATGCGTAATTTGGTACCACTTTACCATAAGGCTCCCCTTATAGATGGCTAATAGTTTATAGATGCATATATATATTAATTCCTCTATAAGCACTTTATAAATCATTAATAATTGTTTATTATGCATTAATTAATGGGTACAGAGACAAAACTGACCCGTTTCTTGCAAAATATTGAGCCAAATCTGTTCACCTATGTATTTCATTTAGAGTTGTTATATTAAATATTTCACACTAAGTTACTACCTTGTGAGCACAATAAGCATTTGTAAACTTTTTTTTTTTTTTAGGATATACAGTAATATTAGTTGTAGATGCTTATAATGCCGTGATAAAGTACAAATATTAAATGCTCAAAAATAGGTTCCACCGCTATAATAATAACTCCCAAAATCAGTTTGACCACTTGAATGCATTCTCTACGTTACTGATGGAAAACAACAACAAAAAGCAGCTTTCTTTATATATTAAATAACGAACTCCTCAGCTCTTTCTCCAGACTGAATTAGAACATCTTCAAGTTGTAGCACAGAGTCTGAAATGACCTGCAGCTACAACTTGAGCAGGCTGTGTGTGTTTCACTGCTCCAGTGAGTCTCAGCATGAAATGAACAACTGGTAAATGACGAAGAGAGGGTGAGGTTAAGAACGGAGGTAGGAATGAACGAGCAGACGGGGTTATTTCACCACTCAATCATGTCATCCTGGCAACCACACACACCTCACCTGCACAAACACACTGCCTCTACCTGTAGCACAAGAAAAGGACTTGTTTTACTTGCTTGAGCCTGACGGAGCTTAAGAGTCTGCGACTGTCTTCTTTACCTGCTTCTTCCTTTCTGTGCGAGAGACGTGAGACACCCCTGGACAGATCGCAAGTGCAGCTCAGGGAAACATGGAGACAAACCATTCGCATGTAGGGACAGTTTGGAGTTACCAATTAACCAAATGTGCACGGTTTTAGTCCGTGGGAAGAAATCGCAGGATCCAGGGACAACCTCTGAGCACAAGGACATGCCAACACAACCCAGAAAGGCTGTGACCTTGTTGCGGGGTGACAGCTCTAACCACTGCTGCAAATTTATTACTTTAGGGTTTTTTTAGTATTTAAACCGACCTGAGAATCTGACACGGATCAGATCTGCTGCACAACTTAACTTTTCTTTATGAAGATAAATTAGTCTCAACAAGAAAAGCTCCTGTGCCGAGTCAGAAATACGTCATTTGTAAATTTAAAATGAGAAAAAGATGAGCATTTAAGCCGTTTGGGGGAATCAATAAGGAAGTTCTCCTTTTTCAAATCTGTCCCTTCTGTTCTCATTCAGTAATATTTAGCTCGTTTAAAATTTGTTTAGCCTCAAGTGGAAATCATTAGGCTAGCTAAGAAAACACCGGATTTTTTTAAAAAACAGGTTTAAGTCGTGCACCAAAAAAGAAACAAGAAACTCACCTGAAGCTGTGCTGCTGTCAATGAAGCATTTCTAAGCTAATGTTTGGGCGGATCTAAAAATAAACTTGGTCAATGTTTAGCTATCCAGGCAATCTTCAACTCTTTAGTGCTGGTCAGCTTCAAGTTCATTTTAGTTTCCTTTGTGAAGACAGACAATGGGTAGAAGTTTAAAGCGAACACACTGTACGTTGCATTTTTCTATAGTGGGCTTTCTTTCAAACAATAGATAATAAAATACTGTATATCAACTTTAAAACCGTTATCTGCAATAAATAGAGTGTTCATATAATAAACAGGGTTAAAAATCTAAATTCTTGTCCATTTCTTTGTCAGAAGTGTTTATGAGTCTGACATCTGGAGGGTAAATGTTGCATCTGAGGCTTGAAGTCCTGGCACTATTAAAGGTGCTTCCCTGAAGAGAGGGAGGCAAACAAAATGTGATCATTATGGATTAAATTTAATTATGTCTTTTAATAAAAATTTAAAAAAAAGACATGCAGCAAGCTGAGTTAATTGTAGGTGAGGAGTTGAGTAATAAGAAAAATACCAGTCAAGACTTCAGCTCCTGTTTGTACATGCAGTACTTTTCAGTGAAACACCAAACCCAGGAGTTGTGTGTCCTTGTGACATTGATGTTTCGTGAGCGTTCTGCAGTTGACAAACTATAAAACAACTAGTATGTACGCAGCGTTAATGACACGATGTATACAGCCACTTACATGCCATAAACACCACTGGTTTTACTGTTTTTCCAGTCTTGTTTCAGGGTGTACATTCTTGGTTCTACCACTAGGTGGTGCTGCAGCTCTTGGAAATTGCACTTCCTGATTTTTTTTTTTTTTTTTTGTCATCAAGTTGGTCTCATGAAGAGTACAATCAAAAGGTTGCCTGAACTCAAAGCAGCGTGGTTTTAATAAAAATAAGGTGTGTACTTTTTTAAATGCTGCAAAGCTTGTCACATGGACCTAAAAACGGAATATATTTACTGGGCAAACAGAAGCTGTGCAGCTGGCCATGCGTCTTCAGCTGACTGACAGGAAGGTTGGAGGACGGATGGCTCTTATTGGAACAAGGTGTTATGTGGGCAGCATGTCCTCATTTGGATTTGTCTGACTGGACATGGTGTAAGAATGACCATAAATGGTGTCCCTGTCTCCTGTATCCTCGCCTCCTTGTTTTGAGTACCCCCCCCCCCCCCACACACACACACACAGGCAAAAATTCTCACATAAAGAGGATGGGCTTATCCAGGAACAAGAAAGTTCACATTTCTCCTGCCTGATTTTTCATTCGGCGTTCCCTGCCAGCTCTCTGTCATCTTTGCTGTTTTCTGTTCTCAGACATGTTTTTTCTCAAAGACCCAGTTCGTTGGTTGTCTGCTTATAGGAAGTGAGCGCTGGAGGGAGGTACAGAAAGCACCCTGGGCCCGGTCAGCCACACCTTTTCACATTTTTTGCCTGAGGATTTTAAACGTCTGAGTTTTTCTTAGTGTTGGCATTTCTTCATAATCTTTCAGATCTGCCGGAGATAAAAAAAAAAAAAAAAAAGGGGAGATGTGACGCTCTGTATGCTTTTGGATATTATTTCCCACACATTTTATGGACGTAGGTGCAGAAGACAAGAAGCTTGACTTTGACCAGATGTGCGTTATTTAGCTAAAGGGAGAAAGAGGATGAAAAGGAAAGTAGGTAATCCATTATGTTTGAACTAAAATCCTACACCAAAAGTCATCACCTGGAT